GCGCCCGAAAAGAATTATTTTTAATGGCATGGTAATCTTCTATCAAATGGACAGATTATTATTTATTCATTCAGTTTTCTATTGTTTTCCATTTTGGTTGTTTCTAATTTTTTGCTGTCATAAAGCATGTTCCAATGGATATATATAAAATCATATGATATATAATATAATATATATAAAATATAATATACATATAAATGCATTTAATTTTCTGATTATTTCCCCCAAATAAATTCTTAGAAGGATTGCTCCATCAAATTATGTAAACATGCTTGAGAATTTTGGTAGCTGTTGCCAATAGTGAATGAGAGTTTCTACCTACCTGTTGTATACATGAGGTGTTAACAATGCTAAATGCAGTCATTTAGAAACATGTATTTGCAGCTTTGACAGGAGGGAATGTTATATCCATGCTTTCGTTTATATGTCTTTAATTGTTTCTAGAAGTTATTTTGATTTGATTTGATTTGACTTGATTTTTTTTTTAAGATTTTATTTATTTATTTGAGAGAGAGAGAATGAGAGAGAGCACATAAGAGGGGGAAGGGTCAGAGGGAGAAGCAGACTCCCTGCCGAGCAGGGAACCCAATGCGGGACTCGATCCAGGGACTCCAGGATCATGACCTGCGCCGAAGGCAGTCGCTTAACCAACTGAGCCACCCAGGCGCCCAGATTTGACTTGATTTATCATTTATTAGTCATCTGTGAATTTCCTGTTAAATTCTTTTGCTATTTTTCTATTGGACGTATTTTTCACACTGATATGAGGTTTCCTTTTTTAAAGCAATCAGCCCTATTACATGTAACTCTATCAGATTTATTGTAACAAATTTCCAATTTGCCATTGTGTCTATGGTTTTTTTTTAATGTACAGAAATTAATATATTTTAAAAGTTTGTTCTTTGCTCTTAAATGTTCTGATAGTCTTTTACTATCCTGAGATCATAAAAAGATTCATCAGATTTTCTTCAAATTTTTTATAATTTTGTTTTTCTCTTTTACTTTTTAAACTGTGTGAAACTCTCTTCTAGTGTAAAATTTGAATGAAGCTACTTCTCTGCTTTACTTGTTGGCTTAAAATTATTATCTCAGCCCTACTTACTGACTAATCCCAGCTGAGTTGGAATACAAACGTTATAACATACTAAATTTTCAATTAGCTTCTGCTCTTAAACAATCTAATGTATCTAATACTTCTTGAATTATTATAGCTTTATATTATATTTTAATATCTGATAGAAATTGCCTATTGTACTTTGTTTTCAAATTTTACTTGAATATCCTTGCATGTTGATGCTTATAGATGAATTTTGGAATTACATTTCAACACCTGAAAATCATCCTGCAGGGGTTTTGACTGTAATTGTATTAGGCTATTAATTTCATAAAACTCAACACCTTTTATGATATTCAATTTTCACAGCCAGATTGAATTCTGTGGCATCATTTTGTGTGTGTGTGTGTTTGTGTGTGTGTATACATGTATATGCCTTTTTTTGTCCTTCACTGAAAGTTTGTAATTTTTAAAAAATTTATTTACTTATTTTAGAGAGAGAGAAAGAGAGAGAGAGAGTGCATGGGAGGTGGGCAGGGCAGGGGCAGAAGGAGAGGGAGAGAGGGAATCTCAAGCAGACTCCGTGCTGAGTGGGGAGCTCCATGTGGGACTTGACCTCATGACCCTGAGATCATGACCTGAGTCAAAATCAAGAGTCAGACCCTTAACCAACTTAGCCACTCAGGAGCCCCACATCTCACATTTTAAAGTAATTGTCATTCCTAATTGGTTTTGCTGTTAGAATGGATTTCCCCCGATTTTATTTTCTAAATGCTTATTTTTGTGAACAAAAAAAGCCATCAATGTTTTATGATTTATTTTGTGCTTGGACACTTTATTAAACATTTTTCTCTTGTTATTAATATTTTATTTGATTCACATAAATTTTCTAAGAATAAAATCATATTAAGTTCACATGATGATTTTGTTTATTCTTTTAGATGAACTATTTCTCTTATTCTGACTTTAGGTTTTATTGCATTGGTTATAATCATAAAAATAAATGTTCTTAACAAAGGAAAACAAAAAACAGCATCTTTTGACCTCATGAATAACTAGAAAGTTGGAATGCTTTAGTTTTCTTTTCCTTGCCCATGTCCCTTTCTGATCATGCTTTGCATTTTTACTTTATTTTTTTCTCTATGAAGACTTTAAAATTTTTAATTCATTTATTTTCTAACCATTTTTTTGTAGCAGTTATATCATGTTCTAGTGGCCTCACTGCTTACAATTAGTCATTTCATATTATGACTTTCCCATAGTGAAGGAATTTCATTCATTCCTTAATAATCTGAAATGTATGTGGGTGATATGTTTTCTGAGCTTTTGTATGCATGAGGATATCTTTTGTTCCCTGTAACCAAAAGTAATAATTCAGGTGGATACAGAATTCTTATGTTAAAACCTTTTCTCCTAAAAACTTCATATTTTATTCCATTTTCTTTGGCATTCATTTTTGCAGAAAACAGGTCTAAATAAAACTGAATTTTCCACTGTGTCTGAAATTCATACTTTTCAACTCAATTATATTTAAGTGTTAATCATTTTTTTCATTAACTTTGCCTTGTCCTGAGTTAGCCTATTTGGTCTGAAGACATGGGTCTTTGTTTGGGACAGGAAAGTTTCCTTCAATTTTTTCTTTCTTGATAGTTGCTTAAGTTTAATTTATTCTGAATTCCTCTCCAGTAACACCAATAATGTATAGGTTTAATATCTGATGTCTTGACATTCCAGATGTTTAACTTTTCTCTCATAAAATTTATGTCTTCTGCTTTCTCTATATCCTATGAGATTTTCTCAACTTAGTCCTTCCTAATACTGATTTGATTTTCTACAATATTCAGTCTGCTCTTTTTCTGCTTTCAAGACAGATTTTAATTCTACTATTGAGTCTTTTATTTCCTTACCTTCTCTCCTCTTTTCATTTAGCTCTCTATTCATCCCAGTTTGAAACCCTGTTCCTTCTCTTACTAGCTGTGTGACCTGGGTTAAGATATTTAATCTCTGTTCTCCAGTTTTGTCATCAATAAAATGAAGATAATAATTCTTTCCAGGAAATGAAATCAGATTGTCCTTGGAAACTTCTAGAAAAGTTTCTATCCCATAGAAATGTGTCAATTAATGTTAACTGCTGTTATTGTTGCCATCATCATCATCATCACTGTCATCGTCATCATGTCTGCCCATACCTCAGTGATACCTCTTTCCTTTAAACTGCTGTCATCTCATTTCTGTGTGTGTGTGTGTGTGTTTACAGAAGTCATATTTTATTGAATTTTGGGAAAACCCAATACAGCTATTCTCTAAAATGTATTCCTGCTGTAAATCTTTTTCTAACTCTTCACCTTGAGTATAGTGTAAAACACAGCTTTTTATGTTGTAGAATACTTTCACAAGCCTCATATTGTTGCTGTTGTTAATTTTTTATCTATACCCCCTTATACAAGGAGAGATCTTTTGACAGAAGACAGGATAGATTAGTTCCCTTTGGTTGCCCTAAATTTTGACTTGGGAGCTGTCAGGATCCTCTACTGAATCTGAAATCCCCGGGCTGGTTCATATGCACAGTATGGAGTCAGAGTGCTGCTGACTGGCTCTTACCTAGCAGGACGGCTGGGGCTGCATTTGAGACCACTCTCCTACTGCTCTTCTCTGAAGATCTACAGAAGGGAATGTATTCTTGGGTAATTTCAACCCTTATTCAATTCGATTTACATCCCTTGCCCAAAGTAGTGGGTGAAATCTGTACTCTCTGATTGCATTGTCTCATCACTGTCTTATCTTGTCCACATTATTGATTCATTTTCCATATGCAAGGTGTCATTAATGTGCCCAGTTCTGCCCCCTGCCAGGCCGCATTGTCGTGAATTGTAACCCTTAAATAGATCTATCTCTGGGGCTCGTGTGGACCTGGCTCCTGCATTTTGGAGGAACAGGCATTTGGCATATATGGGAGGAAAAAGTCACAGACAAGTGTGTAGAAACTTCTATTTTCCTCCTCCTTGCATTTATTATTCTGTCTTTTTTTTTTTTTTTTTAAGATTTTATTTATTTATTTGACAGAGAGAGACACAGCGAGAGAGGGAACACAAGCAGGGGGAGAGGGAAAGGGAGCAGCAGGCTTCCGCGGAGCAGGGAGCCCGACGCGGGGCTCGATCCCAGGACCCTGGGATCATGACCTGAGCTGAAGGCAGCCGCTTAACGACTGAGCCACCCAGGCGAAGTCTTTTTTTTTTTTTTTTCATGGAACTGCCCTTAGGGGTTTGGCAACATGTTGACTAATCTTTCTAATGCCATTGACACTTTGTATCTGTGTATGTATTTTTATGAATATTTCAAGGAAAATTGAGAGAAACTGAATAAGGCTCTTACAGATAGTTTTTAAAATTTCCAAGTTAAAAAGGAAAAAAAAAAAAAGACTTCCCAATCATAGAATCAAAGAGGTCTTAGATCAAAACTTTCATTTTATAGTTGAAGAGACTCTTCTCACAGAGAAGTTGCCTGACTAGTCTGAGGTCAGACAGAGGCCAGAGGCCCAGGTCTCCCCACCTCTGGGTCAGTGCTTTTGTCCTTCGGGTTCCTTGCTTGTTGAAAAAAAATTATTTTCTGCTATTCTGACAAGTCTAGATTCTCAAGCCAGGGTCTTTCATATTTAGGCTTTTTTTTGTTTGTTTTTTTTTTTTTAAACAGCAAGAAGCCTTCTTCCACATGGAAATATAACTACAAGGAAAAATCCACTAAGAGCACGAAATTTCCTCATGTTAAAGCACTTTGGGGAACTTTTATATGCTCTTCTTCCCACTCCTTCTATACCTCTTTCTAAAAATCACAAGTAAAATAAATATTCAACCTGGGATAATAGTTCTCTTAAAGGAGTTGATTCTTTAAGACTTAATTATTGTTGTGACATTTCACATTCCAATACATCAGTCCCTTTGTGTTTCAGCTGCTGGATGACTGCTCCTCACGTCTTAAATTGGCCCGCCCAGCCAGAATACTGTACACCCCCAGTGGAGAACCAATTCACTCGTGGGACGACATAGAGCGAGACATGGTCATCTGCGTGTCCACAGGACATGGCTTTATAACCCAAAAAGGTATGGGGGACAGTCTCTTTTCCATCAAGTTTTTGAAGAATTAAAACATTCAGTCTCTTGTTTTTAATTTTTTTCTTTTTTTAAATTTAATTTTATTATGTTATGTTAGTCAGCATACAGTACATCATTAGTTTTTGATGTAGTGTTCCATGATTCATTGTTTGCATATAACACCCAGTACTCCATGCAGTACATGCCCTCCTTAATACCCATCATCGGATTAACCCATCCCTCCACCCCACTCCCCTCTAAAACCTTCAGTTTGTTTCTCGGAGCTAGCTTTCTAAATTTTATTTCCCATCATGATGTTTTTTAATAATTATCTTCTTCCACACTTTTCTACTCCATGTTACTAAAATTAAATTTATATACTTCTGTGCTGGAAACTCACTGTTGACATTGTTTGCACTCAAGAATTCCAAGTTCTGTTAGTCTTGAGCCTTATCCAAGGGACTTATTTGCAGAAATTCTAAATGGCCTCATTTGAAGGTATTCCCTTAACATGAACCCTGAGGAAAGAAGGCTCTGTTGACTTCCTACTTTCAAGTTATTTAAAACTTAATGGTTTATTAATAGCAACTATACAGTTTGCAGATTTTTTAAAAAAGATTTTATTTATTTATTTATTTATTTATTTATTTATTTATTTATTTGAAAGAGAGAGAGAGAGAGCATGAGCAGAGGGAGGAGGGGCAGAGGGAGAGGGACAGCAGAGTCCGAGCTGAGTGGGGAGCCTGATGGGGGGCTTGATCCCAGGACTCTGAAATCATGACCTGAGCCAAAGTCAGACACTTAACTGACCGAGCCACCCAGGTGCCCCTGCAGATTTCTTTTTTTAATAATAAGAATGTATATGCTCATTTTATTATGTTATCTATTCTTTGCTAATTTTCTTTTAGAAATGATAGAAATGGAAAAGAACATATATTTGTTATTAAACTAATTCTTGTCCTGTATCCTGTTTGCCTGAGGAATTTAAAGCCCCTTTCTGGGGGTAGGTATAATTTTCAGGAATTCTGAAGAACATGATACCACTTTAAAGGAAATCAAAAGATTAGGGAGTGAATTACCTGGGATCCCTAAAAGAACTAATACTAGATTATTTCTTTTTAAAAATCACCATAAAACTGTTATTACTATGTTATAGGTAAGGTACAGAAACCAGAACCTTTTAAAACAGCTGCAATCATATCTTTACATTTAGCCCAGGACAAAAGCTTAGGAATAAAGACTGAAATGTAGGAAGACAAGGATTTATTGGGATGCCTAGCACTGCTGTGAGGGATGCCACAAACATGCTTCCAGTGCCATCCTACATCAAGGAAGAGTCTCTAATCTTTGTATTCTCTGTAGGCTGTTGTCCCCATCATTCACCATTACCCCTCACCCCAGCTCTTGGTGACCCTCATTATGTGGGTACTGAGAAGAACACACCAATGATGGTGTTCTTATCATTAGTGAGTATTAGTTGACAGTTTTCTGTGTTGCCAAACTACGTAGCCCTATAAAAGAAATATAAGCCAAGCTTCCTTCCCCAAAAGAGTTTTCAATCTAATTAGGTATATGAATACACCTGAAATATTATAGTACAATTGAATAGTAAACAAACAAGTGGTGCAGTAGGAGGTACTTTTCCAGTTTCTTCATTGTTTATGCTTAATCTTTTATACTCTTGGGATGGTCTGCTCTTGCCTGGCCCCTACCGTCCTGGCTTCATTGTGTTCATTGGGCCTTTCTGATAGATAAAGCTAAGTATGCTTCAGGCAACTGGCCAAAAGGATGTCCAAAACACAGAGAGAAATGTAGGCCCCCTTGCCAGAAGCAAGCTTGTTACCAAGAAAAAATGAAGGAGAGGGAGAAAATAGGAAATGCAAATGTTGCTTTCCCTACCATTTTCCTCCATGTTAGATTTGTGGTCAAAGGACAAGGCTGTGTAGACAAACATTTATTTTTACATCTTCAGTTCTGTGACCACATGGATTACTATGATGTGAAAGTTGATTCTTTTCCTCTGGAAGTAGGTTCCCATGTTACCTTCATGGTGAAAAGGTTAGTGGTTTTCCCCAATTGTCTAAGTTCTTTTCCATGGGTGATATGTATTCTAGGAAATCTGACTGATAGAAGATTTTAATTAAGTTGTTCTTCAGAAATTTATTTTACTATATGAGTTGACATTTATTGTTTTTCTTGAAATAATTAAGTTAGAAATAATCATTAAGTAGAAATCTAAATATTCAGAATGTTTTAAAAAAAGAAGAGAGAAATGCTACACGCACACACACCCACATATTTATTTATTTATGAAGGGACATTTAAGTAATCTTCCACTCGAAATTTTGCTGTGACCTACTGGCTTAACTATGTGGTAGAAAATAAGGCAGCCTGGGAGTTTCAAAACTAACCACTCTATAATAAATTATTTTATGCACTATAGTATGCAAACATTTAACATGTGAAAGTTTAGTCATCAAAGAATCACACTGTGTTTTTGAAAAATGGATTTGTTTTGGCAAAACAAATCAGATGCTGTTAGAATGGTTTCTTTCACACAAACCCCCAACAAAATTAAAAGAGTGCTTTATGCCAGTTGTCATCGAATTGGAACACTGTTCTCACTCCTGTGTTTCCCGTCTTTTCACTGGGTTCAATTTCGAGACCACTCCCAGGTTAGCCTCCAATTCAGGCTTTGTACCAAGTCTGGAAGGAAGCCCTCTCCAGAACTGCCATTCTGTAGAAATCCAAAGAATGTTAACACGTATCTGATGTGATAAGCAAGTCAAGTGTGTAATGAGAGAGTCCAGCGTGGGAGTCAAGGGTTTCTGAGGGATCTTCGGGCTTTCATCGTCTTGGACTTTTAATTACTTTCTATAAATACATTGACATGTCTCTCAAAATAATCTTTTTAACAGAGTTAAAGCAACTGATGGAGGTCAGAGCAAATTATGCCAGAATCCGAAGGCAGCAGGGCCCTGAAGCCACAAACATCGTGGCGTCACAACCTGACAAGCTGCAATTTCCAGTACATCTACACAGTTAATTTCTATGAGAGCCATCGCATTTTGTGCTGTATTTTGCACATAGGGTAACCTACGTGTGTACACTCACATGCTTGTGATCAGATGACAATTATTCATCCTTTTTAATTTTGTATAGTATCTTTTTAAAAAAAATTTTTTAATTTTTAATTTTATTTTATTATGTTATGTTAATCACCATACATTACATCATTAGTTTTTGATGTAGTGTTCCATGATTCACTGTTTGCGTATAACACCCAGTGCTCCATGCAGAACGTGCCCTCTTTAATACCCACCACCAGGCTAACCCTTCCCCCCCCCCTCCCCTCTAGAACCCTCAGTTTGTTTCTCAGAGTCCATAGTCTCTCATGGTTCTTTCAAAAAAGTTATTACCCTCCACATTTTTACATAGAATGGCATTTGATGCCTCAAATATGTTCTTGGAAAGACAACAAAACTAGACAAAATAATGTCAGTAAAATAACTATCTCAGGTGTACTTTCTTCCAAAAAAAATCAGGAAACTATTATTATTGAAAAATAATTTAGTGCAGTCAAGTGATATTTTATATTTATATATACATACACATATATATATATACACACACCCCCACATACCCATATACACACGTGTAATTTATATTTGTTTATTATAAATACATTGTATGTATTTATATATGTAATTTAGTGGGGTCAAGTAGTGTGTGTGTGTGTGTGTATATATATATATATATATATATATGTAATTTGATAATAAAATAGACTGACCACCTAACACTAAATTTGACCCAAACTGACATTTTTCTGGTTAGCCACCATATTTTCCAAACCTTCATGTTAAAATCCTGTATTTACTGAATAAAAATGAGATGGCTGGTGACCACTGAATACCACGTGAATCAATCTTCCCTTCTCCACTTTCCCTTCAGTTTGGCCTGTAGTAGCAATGCAGAACTCTTTATGGGGCACAGCTACGGAACATGTTGTTCATGAAAGTGAACCTGGGTAATTTCAGACTAAGCTCAGTAAGCAAGAGTCATAGACTGTGTCCTCAAAACAGAACTTAGAGAAAGGATCTATGCACTGTTAAAAAGAAGTCACATAAGGAATCAAAGGAAATCCTTAGCAATCTTAGAAAGCAACAGTACAGGAAGAAAAGAGAAATACTTATCTGTTAATTTCTTCCTGCAATGAAGAAAGAATCTTTTGTTGTTGTTGTTTTAAATAGCAGTGACAAAGCAGAGCTTGGTTTCCCATCCTGGTCGAAAATTTCGAGAGAACTGTTCTTCTCTTTCTTCCTCTGAAAGTCACTCACAGCTCTGCCTGCATATAAATTGCAACCTGGCTAGGCGTGTACAGAATGGCTCAGCTGGCTCACTCCTCAATCCACCACTTTCATGTGATGCAGTAGATCATGTCTACTGAGGGGGGGCTCTTGGTAATCGCTGCAAAAGGCCTAGTATTTACTCCCAGTCTACAAATCAGTAGGGCTGCATGAATAAATTCCTGCTGCTTCCAACACCACTAAAAGGAGAGCACATTGAGGTGAAATTTCACATGTTACATCCACAGCAATCGGCCCTTTTGCGACACTGTTGTACAACGTTAGAGATGTGAAGGCATCCCAGAACAGCCTTTGTGACACATAGGAGAGAAAGATTGCATGTGACCCCCATTTTTCCTTTTCTTTTTTTTAACAAGAAAGGCAAAATAAGAAAGATTAAGGAACATGCTTCAGGTCAGGAAGCAGGACAACAGGATTCTTACCTGCTGGGCCTCTGCTTAGAATGACTGGATCACAATCCCCATAGACAAAGAACTTTTTATTTTTTTTATTTTTTCAAAATTCCTTGAAAACAAAGGCATTTCCTAGGTGCAAAAGTACCTATCATTTTGCTGCCAAAGAAAAGTTGATTTGCTATGAAAATGGCATAATTTCACCCTGGATCAAATGTGCAAATTCTTGTGAAGTCTTCACTGTTGCATGTGAATACGCCTGAAGCGAAAATTGGCAATATCACACAACGCTCTATCAAGCACCGGGAAACATAAGGCAAAACTCTTAACTGAACTTTTCTATTACTAGTAAATGGGATTTTAGATGTAATATAACAGTCATCAACACATCACGTTTTTCCAGCAAGGCAGCAACACTTACTTGCACAGGGTATCTCGGCAGTTCATACCCACTTATAACTCAGACCAAAGACAGCCCTGCTCTTTCCTTATTATTGACCTTCCTCCTTGGTTGGCGCAAGGTGGACGGGGGAGCGGTTACTCCACCTCAGCAAGGACTATTGGATAAGACTATTGCAATTCTGTTCAGCCTCCCTAGGCTTTTAATAAACCCAGTAATTTCCTTTGGGGACATGTTTATCAAATTTGAATCAGCTGCGTATACATAAGTCACATTTCAATGTTTTCCTATCAACTGGAAACCATTTATTATTAAATACTAAAACAACCATCCTCAAGTCCATGGTCTTTTCCAGAAATTTATTTCCTGCTGGTTCACAAACACCCTTAAGGTGATCCAGATGTTAATCAACAGTGTGCCAGCATCTGTGATTTCCGCAGGAGGACTTTTCTGGATGTTTCTGCCCCACCTCTAGCTTTTGTTGCCTGACGAAGTGTTGGGGTGAAGCTGCATGTTTCTAAGCGAGCTGACTAGAAGTAACATGCCCGAAAGTTTGACGGACATTTTGAGATTAAATAAGAAGCATTTATCTAGGTACTTACGCCAGTTTTGCACAACAGGACACATTAGTAATGATTCAAAATGCAAAGGTGGTTTTATAGAGTAATAACCCTGAATTTCCATTTCTTTCTTGATTGTTCATAATAACTAATTATGTGTGTGTGTGTGTGTGTGTGGATTAAGGAAGCAAAGCAAAAAAACAACAAAAAGGGAAAGATAAATTTGTTCTCTTTGCAAGAGAATCACCGAGAAATTGTGGCTAGTGGTTATTGCTGTGTTTATGAGCTAATCTTTAATAATAGCCCAGGTGTGCTGAGTGTCATTGAGATTTGTGATTCACCAAGGCAGCTGTTTGTCTTTGTTTTGTTTTGTTTTGTTTTGTTTTTCTGGCATCACTTGGAAGAGAGTGATCAAAACCCACAGATCTGTGTTATTCTAGGTCAGCACAAATCAGATGCAAATGTCCTCAATTAAATGGAATTTGGACCCATTGGTGATCCTCAGTTGTTTTTGTTAAACCAATGGCTCCAGTTCCCTCTTGGCTCTGAGCACATCTCAACGCCTCCTAAGGCTAGGTAAGCAGATAAGAGCCGCCGTTTTGTTTGTTCTCAATGCAATAAACTAAAATTCTGCCTAAATGGCATGGTTCGGGGCTGCTTGGCTATAAGCAACTGCAAAGAAGATCAACAAAGACCACCACTCAGGTAAGTGCCGATGAAAGTAAATGGTCGGACTGTGTAACAAGGCTGCGCTGTGGGGGCCTGCTCCCAGCTACAGTATTTTCTCATTCTGTGCGTTTGTAATATGAAACCGCTATCAGCAGGCTGCCACCCCGCACCGTATGTGCAAATAGAAATATACGAGGGGAGAGGACGTGCTTACGCCCATGGTGTGACTGGGTCGGGGGAGGGAGGAAGAAAGAAGACAAATTATATTTATATGGCAAGTAAAACGGTGATTCTGAATTGGATGTGCTATGGATCCTTGTCTGCTGTATTCCTGTGCTTGTTTAAGGGTTGATAGAAGGTTCAGTCAACCACTGGATCTATTAGGTCCTGCCTTTTCAGTCCTAGAAGTTTCGAACCTGGGAAAGAATGCTGGGATTTTAGCCATGGTGTGGATTCTCAAGATGTCACCTCTGTCAGACCAACTGAGGCAGTTGGGCAGTCAGACTCTACGTGCCACCAGCAGCAGCTGTATTTTAGAGGAAATTTCCCAAAGGCGTACTCTCCATAAGTAACTCTGCAGACTGGGTTGGACTGGAATGGAGGAGAGGAGGGGATCTTCCAGAACTTTCAGGGATGGTGCCCCCAAAGTATGAGATCAGATTATATCTCTCTCTGCAATTCTACCTCTTTCCCCTCTTCCTTCCTTTCTTTTCACTCCTTGCCTGTTGGTCTTCTCAGTCTTCCCTGCTTTTCTCTTCTAAGGGCCTTTAATAAAATTCCACCTTTTATTTTAAAAACAATCCTTTCTGGAGCAATTTGTGGATCAGCAGGGCTGCTTCCTTAGTATGATTCTCAAAGTTTCACTGGGGAGCTTGATAAAACACAGTCCCAGGCTGATCACAGAGGTTCTTATTCCGTATGCCTGACGTGGGTCAGGCAGTCTGCATTTAATAAGCCCCAGGGATGGAGAGTGGTTAGCTGACCACGCTTTGAGGAACTCGGCCAGGAATTCTGTGACCATCAGCTGGGCATGGCTCAAGTGCTGAGGACCAGTTTCAAGAACACTGGAATATGAAGGCAAAGAAACACTTGCTGCATGTGTGACGGCTTGAGTCTCAATGTCCTCATCTTTTCTTATCACCATTTGCTCAAGAAATAATGGAAATGTTCCTGGGTCAGGACTAACCACCCAGAGATTGTAACCAGGACCCAGACACTGGGGGCAAAACAAGTGAGTCTGAGGTAGTGGAGCTTCCCATATTAATTAAGCTGCCTTCAATACTGATAACATCTTGCTATTTTAAAGGTCACAGGAATAATGTCTGGGCTATGGTGCACATATCAAGGAGTAGAGTAATTTTGAGGGTGGGGAAAAATAGCAAGCTTCTTGGAGTTTTCTTGTGCATTTTTATATGTACAAAGCGGGTGCTCCTTAGAACAAGGATGGGGGTCTACTTGCCGAAGTGACCCTTTCCTCACTGAGAGAACTGCTTGCGGGGGGTGGGGGGCGTGGCAAATCTCTTTCTGTTTGCTCTAAGTCTAGTTAACATGGAAGCCTGAGCCACCCACATCTCTGGCAGGCTCATCTAAGAGTGTGAAATTCCACAGGATACTATTTCAGTTCAATAACAAGTGCTCTTAGAAAAATTAATTTCCAAGACCGTTCTCTTGCTCCCTAAATGAAATCCATATAGGCTGGGAGACAGACACTTTCCTTAGAAGACAGAAAATACAAAGAAAATTAGTTCTTTGAAGAACTAATTCATATATATATATATATATATATATATATATATATATATATGCGCCAGGCATTCTCTGTTCTGTTCTGGGTGCTGGGCATGCAAAGGTGTGTGGCTACTTGGAATAGTGCAGAGGCTTAGAATGTTGGATTAATAACCATAAGGTGAGGTGGGAGGGGTGGGCATGAAATTGTGGAGGGCCTTGTAGGTTATACTAAGGAGTTTGGATTTTTCTTTTTTGAGTGCAGTGGGAAACCATTAAAGGGAACTAATATAAAAGCTGGATTAGATATTGTGTATTAAATTAAACTCGCTCAGGTTTCAAGTTACAGAGACATACTCGATTTACCTCTAGTGATGGAGATTTGTTGGGAGGATTAACAAGGAAGTAAGAATGCACAGGGAAGCCCAGCACACAAGCTTCATGGTGGTCTCTGTTCAAGATGCCTGGCTTGTCTTTGTCCAAATGGCCACCCAGTAGTGTACCATTCCTGCTCTTGACTTGGTTGTTTCGTAGTGCTTCTTGCTTCTGCTGTGAATTTTCTACTTCTCCACAGGCTCTTCTGCTTTACAC